CCCCCAAACCAAAATAGTAAAAATGGTTAGTGCTATCTTTGTTCCTGGAGCAGCTGTCACCTCCTTTCAGAAAACACCCTCTTAGGCATCAATTCCCAACATGGTTTCTTGACTCCCAACACAGCAAACCAGTGACACATTTGAGGTAAGTCAAAAGCACTCTGTTAACCAAAATGAAGAGGGGATTATTTTAATGATTTGTTTTATTGTGCTTTATAAATTTGAATAAGTTTTAGGTTACGCCTCTAATCTGGTCACTCTCCCATGTTAGGTAGAGGTACATAGTAGTGGTCCATGACCTTGGATATACGTATGTTGCATATGTGAATGCCCTCCATTACATGAGAATTTATTTACTTATTTATTTATTGCTCATTCTTTGAAGGATCTAATTTTAAAGGAGGAGTTTCCATTTCTTTGGGGACCAAAAAACAAAAGGTAGACGGAAGAGAGTCAAAAAACTTTTCTTTGCCCTCTTAGTGTGGACTAACCCAGAAGCACTCATAATGGCCTTCTAAGACATAATGCCCTCCAAGCAAGTGACAGACCAGCCTCCCTCCAATACACGTTTATGAACATCTGTGAGTCTGTGTGAACATCTGCATCTATACCAGTGTATGTGACTTGCGTGTCCCCCCATGTCCATGTTTGCTTTCTGATGTAACACCTGCTAAACTGCAGCACCAAATAGCTGGCTATTGCAGCTTTAGGGCTAATTCTGGGAAATAAGATACAATCTCAATTTAATACATGTTGGTAGCAATAACAGGAAGATGGAGATCCGGGGAAGCAGTGGATTTCCTTGAGATCATTTTTTTTTAATTGTCCAGAGAGAGTAGGTCATGCTGAAGCAGCTTAGCCTTTAACCACTAAAGGCAGTATTTGGAAATGGTCTGCCATGCTCCCTTTTTTTCCTCTACTCTGATTTTTTTTTTCCTGCCAGTTGCAGCCAGAATGAATACTTACAGCACAAGTGCTAAATCTCAGAGAATAAGAGTTTGGATAAAGAAAGCTTGTCAGGGCTTTCACTGCAGCCTTGTTATGTGGAAAGTCAGAGCCTCTCCTGTTGCTTCTTTCAAACCTGAAGGCATCAAAGGGGCAGCCAGGTCATCTTTGTTTTAAACTCTTTTTTCCCCCCTGCTGTCAGCCTCTACTATTTCTCACCTTTTTAAAAATTAATTCTTCAGAGAAGACCCACTGTGGAGTTGGCCTGAAATGGTTTATTTTAAAGAAGAGTTTTAGTGCTCTTGTGTAAAGTACCACCCAGGAAAGTTGTTTACCACTCTGGATATGAATGGGTCTCCCTCCTCAGAAAAAGGTATTGACTGGGGTGGGAAGGAGAGAGGTACTAAGGAAATGACTGGAGCCTGGCTGAAGGAAGAATCTCCTCTTAGTTGGAGAGTTGGTGATCATGTGAAATGAAAAAGGCAAAAGAAATCCTTTGGGTCTGAACATCAGTGAGCCCACCAAGGGCTGGTTCCCTCCTGAGCCTTATAGTCACCCTCACACCCCAGCCAACCAACACCCTCCGAGACACATTTCACCAAACAATCATTTTTCCATAATAGCCTTTAATACTAAAATGCATTAAATTTTTGAAGCAGAGAAAACACATTAAGGGGAAAACAGAGAACCACCAGATAAAAGGAAACAATGTGGCAGATAACACCATCTAAAACATAACTGTAATAATTTAATAAAGCTGCTTTATCATCTTCATAAAATAGAGTGGTGATTCTTTTTTGTCTTTTTTCTTTTTACAATGATTCAATCACTGTGAAAATGTACATAACATACAGATCAGCATATACAACAATTTCATCTTCATATAGTCAGCAACAGAGACTGCTTAATGAGACATACTGTACTTGCATCCCTCTAAATTTCCACCCTGGTTTGACACGTAAACAGTAATAGTGTCATCAGGCTCATTCCCCTCACTAGAGGAGCGAAGGCGTAAGCCTTTTGCAACTAATACCTTAGCATTCAAATAGCACAGGAGGTATTTGTTGCTGAATTTCTAGCTCGAGCTAGTCTGGCTCTTGGTCATTAAAGTCTGTATCCTAGTCTTCCTCAGATGAACGCCAGCCAGTGCCAGCAAAAATCTACTTAACCAGTGCTGTAATGGTGTTAGCTGGTTTGTTTGCTAAGGTTGACAGCAACTTTCAGTTAGTAACAAGGTCATCTTTAATTGCCAACACAGCTGGAGCAACAATCAGCATCATCAGTTTTCCCTAATGACCTACAGTGCTTTCCAATCAAGATCAAGTTTTTGTGGGTTGTTCTTTACCAAGAGCGCCTTACGATATATATTTCAGACAAGGTGGTTGATTTTCTTTGTTTTACAAAAGCAATATGAGTTCTATTGGAAATTAATTCACTTTGCACAACATGTGACCCACAGGCCAATTCCAGCCTCACAAGAAAACAAAGAGAGCTGCAATAACTTCATTAGGACAATGTGTTTTGCTCTGGAATATTTCATATCAATATAAAGCCACCCAGTCCCAGCCCCACCCCCACACATCCCCTTTGAATATTACTTTGTTACATACTTAAACTAAAGAACAACATCTCAATACACTTCAGTGTCAGCAGATACAATTTGACTCATGAAATGACATCCTTAAATGTAATTTTACCAAGAAGGCAAACACTAGGACTGTACACAATGGACTTCTTAAGCTCATTTATGCCAGTTTTTCAAAGGCAGGTTCTTATTACCCTGGGTAAAGAGCCAAGTGGACCATACTTGTCAGGATGCTTTGGGGAACATTCAACATCAAAATGATCCCCATAAAGTGAATTGGAATCCCAGCCAGAACTTCTATTATGTACAATAATAATCCTTTTCCCACCCTGAATGCACAGTCAAGCTATCGCTACACCCTTGCCTCTCCCAGAACTGCCCTTTATCCTTGCTGCTTCAAGTGAACTGCTTTTGTTTTGCTTGTTAATACGATAGAGCTATACAAAAAGCTCAGCTGAATTCCCTTCAGACAATCAGTTGTATGCTGAAGTAACACTATTGGGATGACACTCTGGGTGGTTCCAATTTTCAGAGTTCTAAGTTGTATTCCTTTAATATTTTTGATTAGTGGTGAGAGGGTCACCGACTAATCAGTTTAAATGGGCACCTTAGGTGTAATTAGCTCTATTAGGCAGGTTCACACTGGAGCAGTGATACTCAAAGCGTGGTCCCTGGACCAGCTGCATCAGCATCACCTGGGAATTTTGAAATCAGCAAAGACTCAGGCCCCATTCCAGACCTACTGAACCAGAAACTCTAAGTGCGGGGCCCATCAACCCATGCTTTAACTAGTCCTCAACCTTTAGTGGGCATCTGATCCATATGGATTGCTAGGTCCCACCTCCAGAAGTTCTGCTTCAGTTGGTTTGCGTGAGGATGGAGAGTTACCATTTCTAACAAGTTCCCAAGTGATGTTGGTGCTGCTGGTCCAGGGACTACATTTTGAAAATCAGGAACTGCGGGGTCCCTTGGCCCATTACCTATTTGGGCAATAAGGTGGGCCATAATTTACTCTGCTGGCTTTAAGAGAATCAAAGGGATGGTAAGTTTCCTTCTGAACAGGTTCATAGATTAGTCAGTATAGGGAAAAGAAAAAAGAGACTCCACACAGCATGGCTCCCTTCTTCCTATTCCTTGTATGTAGTGTATTCCCATATTTGGGGAGAAGCAATCAATCAATGCAAACTAAAACCTTTATATTGCATGAAGATGTTCATCTACTCAGGGACGTGCCCAAAACAGTTATTAGTAAAGCAAGTCACGTCTCAACACCAACTCCTCCCCAAAAGGGACATCAGAATAAATGGAATAGAACTCCCTACGATTTAGGAACTGAAATTGCTGCCTCACATTTAAATGTGTAACATGTTTAGAGAGGAAAAGAAGAGAATATTCGGCCCTCTGGCCTTTGTGGCTTTTCATCAGACATGCTCAAAAGAAGGGGAGAAAAACATGAGCCAAAAGAGAAATTTAGGATCCTTGCACAAAATTCCTATTTGCAGCCAGCTTACAAAGCCCTCCTAGGATGCACTTGTGCTTCTGGGAGGATGTATACATCAAACAACTGTAGAGGAGAAAAAAAAAAGATATTTTCTTAATGAAAGGAATTCTCTGAACATGCTCAATAAAGGGTTTGGAAGCCAAAAAAATGTCTGACTGCCCATTGTGAACAAGTATTTTGAGAAGGAAAAAGGATTGGTCTATCGCTTAAAACTGAATTCTGGAAAAAAAATTGGAGGAAAATAAACACAAGAGAAAAGCAGAATCAATGTCACTCCTACACTAACATTTTAAACTTGGCTGGTTTAAAATGGTTAGTGTAGAGACATGGCAGCCAGTGGCCCCTCTGGCTCAATAGCCACATAACATTGAATGTTCCCACTTGCCACAATCTTTTCAGCTCCCTCATTCTGACTGAGCATAATAAGAAATACACCTATACAAAAACTGTCAAATCTGACTTGAAAGCGACCTTGAAGTGGTAGCTAACAACATGATATCAGGATGGATCAGGTGAGGAACAGTCTAAATTCTACAGGCAGCCATCATAACTTAAATGGAAAAAAATTAATTTTTAACGTGTTAATCAAAGTCTATTCACTTGCAAACAGAAATAAATACCTAATTCAAAATCTACTACTAAAATGAAATGAATCAAAGGGGAAAAAAGCAAAAGAATAAAATGAGCCAAAATGAAGATGCTATGGTAATTGATTTCTAATTGTGTCAGTTTCAGAGGGAAATTTGCAGCCACGCCAATATTTTGCATGAGGTAGTATTCATCACTGAATAAGAAATAAGGATGAATTTGTAGCTTCATTATAACTTCTTTTTCAGAAATATTCTCCCCTACGTAACCCCATCCCCACTGCCTTACCCACCCTCCCCAAAACCATCCCTCCTGCAAAAGAAAATATTCCTAGTAATGTATAAAGCCAGGAACTCAGGCAAAAAATAACTAAAACATTTAAAAGATCAGACTTATCTACCTAAATTTAAGAAAATAAATCCTCTTTTGCATTCTTAGTGCTCTAACCTCTAAGCCTTTTTTTGCTGGATACTCTTGAATTTCAAAAAATGAAACAAATGAGAACATAACCACAAAACTTGTTTCTCTAGAAACAACTCTTTTAAGACCAAGGCAGAGCAAAGGTGACATATTTGTTTATTTTTAAATAATGAACTCTTAGGCTGCAAGAATACTATGTTGGCTAGTGAATATTAATAGACAGTAAATAAACGGGAGTTTGAGGAATGTTAAACAAACAAAAAAAGAATGTGTGTAACAAACTTGTTAATAAAAAAGATGTATTCCTAGCCTACAGCAAAGAGTTAGCTAAATGTAATGCATTTTTGATAGTTTCCTGTTCACATTTTTAATTTAAAAAAAGTGTTAGTCATAAAAAGACGAGTTCAAGTGTCCAAGTGTCTCCATTTAGAAGGCACAGTAATTGAATTAATGATGCTGTTACCTGTTACCTGTCTTTTCCTAAATGTACACTTTGTACTGCTTACTCTATCCCTATTTATAATCCTATGATACAGAGCAACATGGAGTTCTCAATTCCAGCCCATGACATGCTTTGCAGTCTAATTCTAATCATGACGGGGAAACACTGAATCAGGAAGTGTGTGTCTAAAAAGATGCTTATTTAGAACTCAAAATAGATTCAGTCTTTTTGAGTTTTAGATGATTGGAGATAAGGAATTTCTAAGCCTGGAAACTGATAACTTCAGGAGCAGCTTTCCTGTTCAGGGCCTGAAAATTAGAAAAATTGATCTCATAAAATTTTCAGCACAGTATTTCTGACAGCTGCAAATTAGATAGCAGAATATCCAAGAATGTCTTTCTGCAATGATCTATCATGGATCTGGGCAGAAGACTGAAAGTCAGGAAAAATACCCTGCAATGTGGTGAGCAACCACTCCGTGGGTAGACTCTGTGAGTGAGTATCCTCCAAGTACTCAATCTATATGTGTGGTGTTACTCATTCACTTGTTGTCTCAGTTGTTTGCACTTTGTTTTTATCTGTAGTTTTATTTTAGTTTTTTAAGAAAAAAAACACCAACTTCTAAAAGCCTTTTGCCATCACCACACACATAGCAATTTGCAATATCAAATATGACAATAGCACAGCTAGCAAAAGGGTTCTTAAAGCAGGGATGTCCACAGCAAAGTAGTGGCATCGGAAAGTACTCGAGCTTCAGAAACAACCATTTGGGGGCTTGATTTCACATCACTGAATCAATGAATAGTACACAATAAATGACCATTAACTTGTCTACACTACAAAACAGTGGCGAGCCTATTAAAGGTGTCCAGAGCTTTTTTTTTTTTTTTGCTTTTTTAAAATGTAATCCTCCACAAACAATGGTAATTTTTATTATAATTTTGACATACAAAAATATATAAATCCAAACACTTAATACATAATACTTTTCACAACTGAATTTGTCTCTGCTTCCCCAACATCAAGGCCCCATGAACAACTCAAGCCAAAGCTAATTTGCTCCAACGGAACACCCCTGCTGCCTGTTGAAATGAGAGGGATTGTCACAGAATGATAGTCACTTATAAACAATACATTTAGGGAAAGCTCTGAAATACAGCCACTCAAGAACCAACCATTGGTGAGCAATTAAAATGATCAGCTCCTGCTTCTTTGCTAGCCAGCATGGTTTCTCTCTCTTCTTCCCCAAGACTGATTTAGAGAATGATATCCTTCAGACGCTTCACACCAGGAGACTCTTTGTCACGACCTTCCTTCAGAATAGGGCTGACCTCATGCACAACTTTCTCGCCATCAGCTCCACGGGGTTCAGCTTCAGAGGGACGAGAAGGGCCATTGTTGACATACTGCTCCAGATCGCGGGCCGGGGGCGCCAGGGCAACGGTGTAAGACACAGAAGGCTTAGTAGGCAGAGGGCTCTTGAGGTGCAGAGGGGAGGTGACAGGGCTAATAGCCTCACAGCCATTGCCTGCCTCCCGGATAGCGCCGTTGACTTTGGGGCTGCAGATGGTCACATCAACAGTCCTCCTGCCTTTCAGGGTGGGCCTCTCCTCAGCTGGGTGGTCACTGACATCCTTTCCAAAGGTTGCAAAAGTCCGCTTGGTGGGGCCGCAGTCATCATAAGCTTCAACATCGGCAGCAGTAGCTTCAATGGACAGTGCAATGATGTTCCTCACATGCTCAGGGGACTTGGAGCGGGTGGGCATGGGGTTCCGGGGCATCCAGCACCTGTCAGAGTGGCCAAGAATCCGGCATTCTTCCCTGCAATGAAATCCTTCATTCTGATCTGTTTGGAGAAAATAAAATGTCAATTTCATCAGCTTTTCCCAGGAATCATTGTTAGTCCCCAGTGTTCTGGTTTCTTAGGTACCCACAGGCCCTTTTGGGAAATGATACTTTTAGATAGTCCTTTATTGCCTTTTGGGACAAGTGTGAAGAATTGGATTTTTAAAAAGCTGCAGATCTCCCCCTCAATACTCTCCCCTTCTTTTTTATTTTTATTTTTGTTGCTGTTCCCACTGCTGACAAAACTAAAAACCTAAAGGAAAACACAGTGTGATGAAAAAATATGTTTTTAAGAAGTTTATCCTGACTGTAGAGGTGCTGAGAGTCAGCAATTTTATCAACAACTCCTGTTAAAAATCAACTGTGTTTGAAACTGGTTCCAGCAGAAGAGGGAGTGGAGGCAGAGCAGGGAATCCAACAGTCAGTATATCTGAGAAGTCTTGGCCATGTTTTTGAGCAGTAGCACTGTCAACCACATTCCCACCCTACCTGTTAATGATATGCAATGCTTAATTTTAGATTAGTAACATGCTTTCTTTGAAAACCCAATCACGTCACTTCTTTTTGACCATCAGTCCCACCAGCCAATCTCCTCACTAAACCATTTACATAATTTCATTTCCCATCAGAAGGAATATATTGAGATCTCTTCCTTACATGTGACCCAGAAGGTTCATTGGCCTTATGCACACATCACTCATAGATTGAACATCATTTAATTATACCCAACTAGCCATCCCTCCTTATCTTTCTTATCTGCAGTTTCATTAGGGTCATATTTCTTAAAATAATTCTTTCATGGATTACTTTAACCCTATCATAGAAGATCTCAGCAAATAGAATTCATAATTATTGGCAAGACATGCTTTGCTCTTTTCATATCGGTTCATTTAGAGTTAAGGTTTTAATTTGGCTCTCAGAAAGGCTTTCTACAGGGGCTTCACTAAAGCATGGACCCAGGGTTAACGTCTACCTGTCCACTGGAAAACTATTAATGTCTGGTTTACAGCTCTAGTTTTCCAGATCAATTTATATTTGTTACATTCTTGCATGAGGATGACCTAATGAAGATTTTCATAACATTGCACAATGCATCAAAATATTAGCAGCTTAACATTTATAGAAATCTTTGGGGCAGGATCAGAGGAGGTGGGGAGACCACAAGAGATCGCAAGGACAAAAAAGTACATGTCAAAAAAAAGTTATAAATTTGCGCTGTGACTGCTTTTTTTTTTTTGCAGGAAGAAGTCTGCAATTCAGGGTCTTGCCTGATATTAGTCTATATATAACACACCTTCCTTATACAATTGTATTTCTGTGTTTTAGTCTGTTTCTTGATTTTTTTAAAGAGTAAATGACGGAGCAAAGAGGCACTGCTCTGCCTCAATCATCAAAAGTTATTTTGGTAAAGGTGCACTTGGGAGGGGGCTCAAGAAATAATGGTTGAATTGGGTGTATACTTCATCATTTGGAGAAAAAGTGTTAGAAGCAGCTAAACATCAAGGCCTAATCCAGGCTGAGTCTAAATTTCAACACAACTCTGGAAATGGCCTTTAACCTAGTCTAAAGTATGGAAAGGCCAACCAAAGGTAAGACCTCCTTCAATGCACCTGGACACAATTTGCCGACTTATCTTTAAGATGGCCATTTTAAGCCCCCTTTCAGTACTGAAGAATGAAACTTTCAGAATTTTGCAGAGGTGCAACCAAATAGCAAATGAGCATTATCACCAAGAGGATAAGTGCCTTCCCCATACACAGGACAATGCTTCTGCAATCTCCAGCACAGTTCCATGTCAGGGTTGCCTGGCCACCTCTGCAAAATGATGGTTTGTCAAAAGCCCTTTCTCTGCCTCTTCCCTGAAAACTCTCAGTGTTGCCATCTGATAACTTATCATTATTCAAAACACATATGTTCTTAGAGAGTGAAGTAAGTCAGAAAGAGAAAAACAAGTATTGTATATTAATGCATATATGTGGAATCTGAAAAAAATTGGTATAGACGATCTTATTTACAAAGCAGAAATAGAGCCACAGACGTAGAGAATAAATATATGGATACTAAAGGGGAAAGGGGGGGTGGGACAAATTGGGAGATTGGGACTGACATGTAAACATTATTGATACTATGTATAAAATAGATAACCTAATGAGAACCTACTGTGTAGCACAGGGAACTCTACTCAATGCTCTGTGGTGACCTAAATGGGAAGGAAATCCGAAAAAGAGGGGATATATGTATATGTATAGCTGATTCACTTTGCTGTACAGTAGAAACTAACACAACATTGTAAAGCAACTATACTCCAACAAATATTTTTTTTAAAATACACATATGTTCCTGGGAGGCAGAAAGTATGAAAGTATGGGAAACATGTTGGGATATACTTGGGAAACACTTTGTGTAGACCCAAACATTATGAGTGGAAGAGCCTATAGCTGATCCACCCACATTCAATTTCATCCAAATCTAGTGGATGACCCCAGTATCCCTCCAGTAGGACAAAGTTTCACACCTTCAGAGTTTCCCCAAAAGATGCTTCTTCCTCAACATTTCCTCTGAGGCGTATCTCATAACTCTCTAAGTAATAGCTCTAAAGAATTAGTTTGAGTGTTTGTTTGGAGGTGGGGAGTAAGGAGGTGCAAGTGGGGGAACAGTTCAATAACTAACTTCCATTTCTATAACTCTGAGTGAGCTCCCTGGAAGTCAGAAAAAAATGCCTGGAAGGCTGTGGGATCCCTGTCCTTTTTGTCCACAATTTAGGGCACAGAGTCATAGAGGCCTTAACCTTTGAGCCATGGAACCACAGCCATATGACCAGCTATGAAGAGGAAATCCCAGCTGACCTTCAGACTGATATTACAGGCCACTTGCTCATATGCCCAGAGCAGAACAGTGATGAATGACAATCTAGTAGAATCTTCTCAATAGGCTCAACATAAAGCTCTCTTAAGTTTCTTTTAAGTTTTTAGTTTCAAGTAGCTATCTTAAAATTTGAAGAGGTACTTCTTTTCTCAACACAATTCATTAAGAGAACACCATTCATGTGTCACCCCAAATCCACATACAGTGCTCCTTCACTACGGTAGGCTGCTTCAAATGAACAACATAAGGAGACCTGGATCCCCAGCATACACAGAGGGCAGAGACCCCAGAGGTAGATACCTCTAAGATCTTATGAATTGACAAAGACCAGAGCAGGGAACTCAATCATCTCAGAAGCTTCTCTGCAAAGATAGTGCTTGCTTTCAGCTTACCCACTGCCTAAGTGAATAGATCACTCTCTGGGAATAGAAAAAGGTAAACTCACTCAGCACCCCCAGGAACGCAATCGGTCTAAGCCTACACACCAATCTCACTAAGCCCACCTCAGCCCTTTGGAAGCTAGAATAATATGCAATTTTCTTCAGTTAATTATGTGTACATATTAGGTACACTGCTCTTACCCCATGCAAGTGAAGACTTCAATCTGAAAGACTCATTTACTCACAATGTCTCACTCCTGGTTTAGATCTGATCTCTTTATTTCCTTAAACCCTTACCAAGGGCAGTGACTTGCTGGTTATCATTTTAGTATCAAACAACACTCAGTGACATTTGTGTCCATACTATTGAAACAAAATCTAACCTAGCTTTAGTGTTTATAGACATATGAAATATGAAAGAAAATATGGAGAATATAGATGGACAGAAAGAATGTCTTCCCAGCCCAAGGTAACCTACATTCATAAATGCAATGCAGATGAATTACCTTTAAAAATCAAAACTTCCGTTTAGTAAGGAAATTAAGTGTGCTTTAAAAGTGAGAGGGGGGAACTTCAAGACAGCGGAGGACTAAGACATGGAGATCACCTTCCTCCACACAAATACATCAAAAATATATCTACATGTGGAACAACTCTTACAGAACACCTACTAAATGCTGGCAGAAGACCTCAGACTTCCCAAAATGCAAGAAACTCCCCACGTACCTGGGTAGGGCAAAAGAGAAAAGGAAAAACAGGGCTTCCCTGGTGGCGCAGTGGTTGGGAGTCCGCCTGCCGATGCAGGGTACATGGGTTTGTGCCCCGGTCCGGGAAGATCCCACATGCCGCGGAGTGGCTGGGCCCGTGAGCCATGGCCGCTGGGCCGCTGGGCCTGTGCATCCGGAGCCTGTGCTCCGCAACGGGAGAGGCCACAACAGTGAGAGGCCCACGTACCGCAAAAAAGAAAAAAAAACAACAAAAAAAAGGAAAAACAGAGACAATAGAATAGGGATGGGACCTGCACCAGTGGGAGGGAGACAGCAGGGTGGGCAGATTCCCACACAGAGGATCCGTGCCCACCAGCACTCATCAGCCTGAGCAGGTTGTCTGTTCACCCGCTGGGGAAGGTGGGGGCTGCGAGCTGAGGCTCAGGTTTCAGAGGTCAGATCCCAGGGAGACGACCGGGGTTGGCTGTGTGAACACAGCCTGAAGGAGGCTAGAGCACCACAGCTAGCCGGGAGGGAGTCTGGGAAAAAGTCTGGACCTGACTAAGAAGCAAGATACCATTGTTTCAGGGTGTGAGAGGAGAGGGGATTCAGAGCACCACCTAAACGAGCTCCAGAGACAGGCGAGAGCCGCAGCTAACAGTGCGGACACCAGAGACAGGCATGAGGTGCTAAGGCTGCTGCTGCAACCACCAAGAAACCTGTGTACAAGCACAGATCACTATCCATACCTCCCTTCCCAGGAGCCTGTGCAGCCTGCCACCGCCAGGGTCCCATGATACAGGGACAACTTCCTCGGGAGAACACACGGCGCGCCTCAGGCTGGTGCAACGTCATGCCGGCCTCTGCCAACACAGGCTCTCCACGCATCCATACACCTCCCTCCCCCTGGCCTGAGTGAGCCAGAGCTCCCTAATCAGATGCTCCTTTAACCCCGTCCTGTCTGGGCAAAGAACAGACGCCCTCAGGTGACCTACATGCAGAGGTGGGGCCAAATCCAAAGCTGAACCCCAGGAGCTGTGCGAACAAAG